ATTGATGTATTATAATTAAATGTAACAAATTGTAATACTTCATCCCAATCCGTGCGTCGTTCATTACATAAGGCGGCAATTTTTCCATCCATCGTAGCATTAAATCGTTCAATTTGTCCATTAGTTTGTGGATGATATACTGTGGAATAAAGATGAGTGACTCCAATATTTTCAAATAATTTGTTCATAACTTGAGAAGTAAAATGAGTACCATTATCGGTTAATATACATGTTGGAGTGCCATATTTTAATATAACATCGTTTATAAGAAATTTTGCTGCTGTTGCTGCTGAACAATCTCGAACAGCTTTTGCAATAACAAATTTTGATAAAACGTCTGTAAGAGATATAATATATCTGTTTCCTTTTTTTGATGTTGGAGTAATTGGACCATGAAAATCCATACTTAATAATTTCCATATTCCTTCGGGTGGTGGTATTGGTTTTAATTTTCCTGGTAATTTTTGACGGCGATAATTATTTTGTGCACATGGTAAACATGAATTTAAATGATTTTTAATATCTGCTATCATTGTCGGCCAATAATAACGTTCTTGAATTTTCCTTATTGTTTTGTCACGGCCAAAATGAGCTCCATTAGCAGGTGTATCATGATAAATTTTTAATATATCAGCACGTATTCGTCCTACTGGAACGTATGGCACTGGTGGAAGTGGTAGTTGTTGTTTTTTAAATAATATTCCATCTTCAATAAAATAATGTTTTTTATTCTTAATATTCTTTCTTATTTCTTGAATTGTTTTGTCTTCTTCTTGACATTTTCTTAAATCATCCATATCAAATGGGATGATCTTGTTTGGATTTTCATCTGATGGTTTGATTATCAATTCTTCATCAGTCGCTACTTTCCCTTGTGGGATGAGCTCATTAATTTTTCCATCCGTCGGTTTAATAGATGGTGTTGCCGTTGCTTGTTGTTGTAATTTGGCTTGAGCTCTAGTAATTGCTGTTGTTATTTTTAATGGAATCAAATTATCATTTAATGATGAAAATGATAAATCTGTTTGTGTTGATGTTGATTCATACTGAGTTCGTTCTTCAATATCTTCTTCAGCTATGTCGACTGGTGATCTTGAAAGATAATCTGCCATATAATTTTTCTTACCTTGAATATGTTTCACCTTAAATCGATATTCAGCTAATTTTAATCGCCATCGTTCACATCTTTTATTTAGTTGTTCTTTGTTTGTAAAATGAATTAATGGTTCATGGTCAGTTTCTAACATAAATTCATGTCCACGAAGATATTTATCCCATTTTTCTATTGCTTGTACTATTGCATAACATTCTTGTTCAATTGTTGGCCACTTAGTTTGTGCTTTTGTTAATTTCTTGGACATATATGCTAATGGTCGATCACCATTGGGAGTAATTTGTAATAGAACAGCACCAATTCCATCTACAGAAGCATCAGTTTGTAATTTAAATAATAATGTATCATCAGGTAAATCGAGAATAAGATCGGTTGTTAATATTTTCTTTAGTTGGTGGAATGCTGTTCTAGCTTCAGCAGATAATTCAAATTTTAATTTTTTATTATTCTTTTGTTGTTGTACTGTTGCTGGAGAATATTGATGTAATGGTGCAGCGATGGTGGAAAATTTTGGAATAAATTTTCGGTAATATTCTGCTGCTTTGACGAATCTAAATGCTTCTTCAGCTGATGTTGGTTCACGTGTTGCAGTTAAACCACGAATGTTTTCTGGATCAGGTTTAATAGTACCTGCTTTAATTAAATGTCCAAGAAATAATATTTCTGTTCTTGCAACTTCGCATTTATCAACATTTAATTTAAAATTTGCTTCTTGTAATAATAAACACACTTCTTCAATATGTTTTAAATGTTCATTAAAATTTTGTGAGTAAATAATAATATCATCGATATAGGCGAGTACATGTTTCCATCTGTTTGGACCTAATATTTGATTAACAATACGTTGAAATGTTGGTGGTCCATTAGTAAGACCTTGTGGTAATACTCGAAATTGAAAATGTCCATCTCGAGTTGAAAATGCTGTTTTTGGTCGATCTAATTTGTCTAATGGTACTTGAAAATATCCAGCTTTAAAATCAAATTTTGTAAAATATGCTGCTTTTGTTAATTGGTCATAAATATCATCAATTCTTGGTAATGGAAAAGCATCTTTTGTTGTAATTTGGTTTAAGCGACGATAATCGACGCAAAATCTTGTTGTTCCATCCTTCTTTTTTACTAAAACGACAGGTGAAGACCATGGTGATGTTGAATGTTCAATAATTCCATTTTTTAATAATTTATCTGTTTCTTTTCTTAAGGTTTCTTGATCTTTGTTTGATTTTCTATATGGTGGAGTGTGAACAGGACGGTGTGTACCAGTATCAATAGCATTTTTTAAAATTATATCAATTTTTGATGGTTCACTAATGTCAAATAATTTTCCATATTTCCATAAAATTTTTAAAATTTGTTCTCGTTGTTTATCATCGCTAATATGTTCAGTTAATTTATTTATTTGCTGTCTTATTTCGTCAGGATAACATTGATTTCTAAGATGCTTGAATAATCCATTGCTAGTATCAAAATGTTGATAACATTTACGACATTGATGTTGTTTTCCATGTGGTGTTATAGTTGGTATGTTGTTACCATTTAATTTATTTGATTTATTCGCTCCTTTCCCTTCAGAAATGAGCTCTTTACACGCTTTTCCTTCCGGAATGCGTTCTATCAAAT